TTAACATGTGTTGACTTCATTACATCTAGTTTGTCTCCTAAGCTTTCTTCTGTCTCCTAAGCCTTCTTCTGAGATAACAATGTTCATATGGTTCTTCAATTTTGTGGAAATGTGGACATCTCTGGCTTTGTGAACATTAAACATGACAACATAATCTCAGATAAAACTGGGAACCTATCCATATTTCTGTATTGGAATGATTGGAAAAGAATGAACCAGATGCTTAATAAAATACACCCAAACATGCAGATGGTTTGGTGTTGCCATAACAAACCATGCTACAGATTTTCATGGAGCTAGACATTTTAAAGTCTTGTTGAGATACCTCATGTTAACACATATTTAACTGATTGTCCAGGATTGCATATTCATAGCAATATTTTCTAGCAAGAATGGTTGCAGTTGTTACTTGAATATTAATTACAAGTAAATTATTATAGTTATAGCTTGAATATTTCAATTATTTTCTGTTACTGTTCTGTTCAGGGGTCCTGAAACTTTTTAAACAGAGGGACAGGTCACAGTCCCTCAAACTGTTGGAGGGCCAGATTATAATTTTAAAAAAACCATGAATGAATTCCTATGCACACTGCACATATCTTATTTGTTATGCAAATAACACTTAAAAGCAATACAATAATTAAAATGAAGACAAATGTTAACAAATATAAACTTCTTAGTATTTCAATGGGAAGTTTGGGCCTGCTTTTGGCTGATAGGATTGTTGTTGTTGTTGTTGTTGTTGTTGTTGTGGTTGTTGTTATGTGCTTTCAAGTCATTTTAGACTTAGGTTGACCCTGAACGAGGGCCGGGTAAATGACCTTGGAGGGCCGTATCTGGCCCCCGTGCCTTAGTTTGAGGACTCTTGCTCTAAATAATTACTCAAATTAAATACATTTGGCTTGAGAAATATTTGCAACCTTAGATGGCAAAATAAGTTCAATAAACATCTGAAAAGTGGTTTCCAAGCAGTTGGGAAACCTCATAAGGAAGAATAGCACAGAGGTAAGAACTTTGCACAGACTTTGCCTGGTATTTACATACCTGAAGTTTTTCAGGAAATTTTCTTTTCCCAGAAACAATGTGGCTTACACCTTTGTGAAAAGTTGGTCTTTTTTTTCCACAAAAGACATGCATGATATTCTGCATAGAGCAACTTAGTTAAACACGTGTAACCTTGTGTTTCTGGAAACAATGTTTTGTGTTGAAAATTGTGTTTTTGGTCAGGAAAAAAAATCCTTTGTGCGTATATTTATAGAAGTCATGATTCCAAAAACATTTATCCTGCAAAATAGGTTCTTTTGTCTAAAATATATAGTTTTGTATCCCCCTATGTATTTCTGCACATATAATTTTTGAAACATTTTAAGATTTATTATCACAGCATGAAAATTGCGAGCAGAACTGTTGAGCAGAAATAAAAAATTCTCTCTGAAGTGGATACCCCCCCCCCCCCCGTGCAGTGTTTGTTCTAGGATTTGTGGATGAGATGGCTAGACATGCAATGCCCACTCATTTATGGCATGTTCATCTCATGATTTCCTAGATAGGTCTACAAAAAATAGTGAAAAATGAAAAAGTACTCAAGCTAAAACTTGGAAAGAGTGCTTTGTTCTTTAGGTGTGTGTATGCAATGAATGGTTTCAATTAATGTCAGACATCAAGAGTAAGTAATAATTATAGGTCCATCAGGCAAAACTTCTCTAGATTGAAGCAATGCTTAGGAGAATTTGGTATGACTACTAGAAAATAAAATGAATACAAGCTGCCATGACTTTAAGGATCTTTCTGAGTTCAGGTATATCAGTTGAACAAATTCTGCTGTGGTCTTGTGATGACAACTTGGCTTTTATTTTAAACAAACCATTTTAAATATGTCTACTATGTATTTCCACACACATAAATGAATTGCCTCTTCCCGAAAGTCGATATTGTGAAATCCTTGTCACTCCGCTTTGAGAAAGAGAAATCTCCCTATTTTGTCTTCTTGTTTTTCTTTGTTTTTACTCATGTCTTGATTCTGGGAATGCAGAAGCACCAGGATGAAAGATGAAGGTCAAATGTATATGTAAGGGGCATGTATTCTTTCTCTGTACAATAGAGCAAACATGCTCTTCCTGGTTGCTTTGCTTTCAAGAAAGGACACTTGGGTGAATTCCTTGTTTCTATAGGTCAAGGGTAGCTGATAGATTCCATGTCAGTGGGATAATGAATCTACTCTGGGCATTGACCCAAGGCTTAAAGGAACTATCCACATGTGGCCAGCATGACTCCATGGAGTGCCATTACCTTCCCACCAGAGCAGTACCTACTGATCTACTCATATTTGCATTTTTTTCAAACTGCTAGGTTGGCAGAAGCAGAGCTAACCACAGGAGCTCATGCCTCTCCCCGGATTCGAACCTGTGACCTTTCAATCAGCAAGTTCAGCAGCTCAGTGCTTTAACCCACTGCGCCACGGAGGTCCCCTACTCTGGGTATTGACTCAAAGTTTAAAGGAACTATCTACAGTGCTGAACACTACCTCCAAAATAGGGTGAGCTGCTTGGATAGCTCCTTTGCATTCTTAAATGTAAAGCAGGTTCATTATCACATTTATATGGAAGCCATCAACCACTTCTGGTGAAAACAACATGTCATTAGACACTAATTCCTCCTTCCCGCCCTTCGACTTTTTCTCAGTTTGGAACTCAAGGCAACTTATAGCAGTTAACACAAACATAGTGAAAATTCATAGCATATGGCAATGAAAATAATTAAACTATGAATTAAAAAACAATTAAAATCATAAATCAATTTAAAATGAAATAAAAATTCATACAAGGCATGTTTTTCTATTTTAAAAATCTGTTCTCAAAGATATACTGTACTGGCACAAGAAGTTCTCTGCTTGTTTGTAGAAGGATAGTAAGGAGGATGCTAGTCTAACTTCTCTGGGAAGGGAATTCCAGGTCTTGGGGGCAGACAATGAGAAGGCTCTCTCCCATGTTGAATCAGGATTACTTGTAAGGATGGTAGAACAGAGAGAAAGGTGTCTGGAGAAGATTTCAAAACATGAGGAGGTTCAAAGGGGAGCAGACCTTTGAATAGCCTGTATCTGAACCATACAGGGATTTGGAGATCATAGCCAGCATTTTGAATAGTGGCTGGGAATGGGCTGGCAGCCACTGGCATTGTTATAATAAGGGAGCTGTATGCTCTCTGTTGTAAGGCCTAGTTGCCAAACTGGCTGCAGCGCTTCTACAAAGGCAGCCTTTTGATATGCTCTTCTAAAAGATGTATGCTTATTGACTTTGCAAAGCCCCCCTGTATGATGATCACATCTGTGTAGTTCCTCTTGGATTAATTGTGACCCGTACATTTAACATTTCTGCTTAATGTTTCTTCATCCCATTCTTGTATTTTATTCTCTTTTTCCACAAATGTTCTCTGAAATGTATGAAACTCAATTTATTGCAATAAGAAATAGGGCATGGGAAGGAATAGATGTGGCTTGCTCATCTCCCAGTCTAACAGGAAATTAAAAATAAGGGCAGCCTTTTCAGGTGAGAATCCTATACTAGCAAGTGGGGAAAAGGTAAGGAATTTAGCAGCTCTGGCTACTTAGTTTATTTTATCTAAAATACTACAAAAGTACCAGTTTGGCACATTATGCAATAGCCCTTTTGTGGGAAGCTTAAACGGTCTTTATAGACCTGCCAGAACTAGACACACAGTCTTTGGAATGAGTGAAATCACAGATTGTGAGTATCAGTAGGCATACCTTTTCCTTTTTTCATTATATGGTGTTCCTAGGAGATAATGCTGTTGATTTGGGGCTGTTGAACCTTGCCCTCATTTTAACAACTTCTTTACATCTCATTATAGTGTGAGTACATGAACTTGGCACTGGGATAACCGTAGTCAGTAGTTCAGAACTATAATTTGAGGCCAGGCCATAAGAGTGTGGAGAGTTTCCATTGATCTTTCAGAGCCAATTTCTGTTACTCTGTTGGGATGTAGAATATGCGTGGAATGGTATGATTTAACACGTAGGTTGCATGCTGTATACAAGATTCACTTCAGGAGACCCTTGGTTATTATACAGAATGGTATGCTTGGCAGATAATTGGGGGAGATAGGACTCCAAGGGCACCTGAGACCAAGCTAAGAAGTGTTTGATCACCCAAAGAGATAGTCCAGAGCAGTTGAAACTAATTGATGTTGTTGTTTCATTGCTGTTAGAATCAAAGAGTTGGAAGAAACCACAAGGGCCATTGGGTCCAACCCCCTGCCATGTTATTTGCTGTGATGTTGACTTTGACTTATGGCAACCCGATGAGACAGAGAGAGAGAGAGAGAGAGAGAGAGAGAGAGCTCCAAGTAAATGATAATTGATAATGGTTAATGATTCTCTTGAGCAACTTTGTGTACCACAGCTAGGCTATAACATGAAATCAAACAAGTTATGAATTAAAATGGTTTGAAATTTCATCGTGCTGCACTAGCAAAGGTTCATTGATTGAAATGTTAACTAAGACTGTTCACTTCATGCTTCACCTACCTTATCGATCACTGGAACTAGAATGAGAAATGCAGTATTGCAATTTATAAACAGCAGTCATTTACAAAGCAGCCATTTTGCATTATGTGTAGTCAATGGTAATGCTAACAACCATAAATATAAGATATTTATTCAGGGAAATAATTAGTCATTTGAGATAAGGAGAATTCCGGGAGAGACCTTTAAAAAAGTAACTGATGCTGAATTACAAATATATCATAACATACTTAAAGAGCAGTGCATCTTTTCCATGTTTCCTTTTTCTGCCTAAATATAATATGCAAAATAAGGACAGTTCTCTCTTCCATAAAAAGATGTCATTTGTGCTTTTTTCAGAATTTCTTTTTGATCCGAAGACAAGTTTTTGAAAAGGCTAAGAATATTTGTAGTGGAATAGTATAAATAGTAGGGTTTTTTTTAATTTTCTTGACTTAATGCTGTTTTTTTATTTTTACAGAAAATTTTTCTCAGTGCTTCAAGTGAAGAAGAAATTTTTGCACACCTTGGCTTGGATTACCTTGAACCCTGGGAAAGAAATGCATAAAGACACTTGCTAATAAGATTTTATAAATTTGCATTTTTTAAATTTTAAAAATCTCTTTCTATTATACACTCACATTTACCTGTAATACTGATTTCTATCATTTAGACTAGCAGAGGTTAAATACATATACTCACAATAGGTATGGTTTTTCTTGAAATAGTTCAGGAAAGAGGACTAATGTAATGCATCTGAACAGTTATATTTGGTAATCAAGACTATAAAAACTTTTCTGTTGGCCTAGTTCCATGCTACCAAGGCAACAGTACAATTCATTTTTAAAAGTTTTAAAGTACTGAAGTATTGAATTATGTCTTTTATTCATTATTTCATGGAATGAAAGAATTAGTGAAAACATGTAGCCTTTTAATTAACTCAGCTTGAGCTATAAAAATTAAAATTAAACAAATTTTGCCTAAACTTTGGACTTCCAAGATATTTTATGACAGAAAAAATGAGCAGGTGGCTTTATAATACATCTAGCTATGGTTAATCGGTTTATGAATTTTCATACACCTATTGGAGGATCATCACATCAAATAATTATTACATAGTCGAGTCACATTCTGATCTAGACTTTACAATGTCTAGGCACATATCATAAGATCAAATAGTGTAGCTGTACAGTCATCCCTCAACTTTCTCAAGACTTAGGGAAGCAAGATCTTTGGCAAAATGGAAACATCGCAAAATCTTAAACTCTCAAAGATGCATGTTACACACTCTGTTACTGCAAAAATCTCTTCAGTGTTGTCATATGGCTTGAAGAGAAAGACAAGGACACTAAAGGAGATCTTTTGCAGTAGATATACTAGCCCTTGCTCTCCTGCTACCATAATCCTGCCTGCCCACCCCAGCTTTCTCCTCCCCCATCTCCTCACCTGATCTCACTCCCTCCATCTGTGCACCAATTGTCCCCTCTTTTCCCACTCCCTCTCCTATTCTTGCTCCCATGTGAGTGAGCAAGGAAACATGCCTTTCCTCCTCCCTATCTGATCCCCTCCCTCAATGAATGAGTGAGTAGCACAGATAGCCTCCTCCTTCCCATTTCTCTTACCATCCCATTCCCTCTTCCTACCTAAGTAAGTTAGTAAGGGAAGACACATGTCCAATAAGTCTATGTATCCTGTTGGATGTTGGAATTGGCAATTCAGTGAAGAGATTTTATCATTGGGTTGTTGTGTGTTTTCCAGGCTGTATGGCCATGTTCCAAAAGCATTCTCTCCTGACGTTTCGCTCACATCTATAGCAGGCATCCTCAGAGGTTGTGAGATCTGACCTCTGAGGATGCCTGCCATAGATGCAAGCAAAATGTCAGGAGAGAATGCTTCTGGAACATGGCCAGACGGCTCAGAAAACACACAACAACCCAGTGATTCCAGCCATGAAAGCCTTCAACAATCAGTTTTATCATTCTCAGCGAGAATACTCCAGTGCCTTGCCAAAATGCAAATCCCAGGATAAAATTGGATGCAGCCATCAAAATAAAAAAAGGAATAGATGTGCTATAATTGTGTAATGTGAGGGCCTTGGTGTGAAGTGTGATGTTGTAAAGGAGACAGAGAGTGGACTCTGATGGGTCAGTGAATCCATTCTAGTTTTTGGTATTAAATTTAAAGTAGCTATCATTAGGAGAGCCCCTGCTTTTGATCTCACCACCATCGGAAATGCAATTGGTGGGGATAAGAGACAGGGCCTTCTTGGCAGTGCCCCCCCCCCCCCCGTCTGTGGAACTCTCTCTCCAGGGACATCAGACTGCCCTCCTCTCTTTTAGAAGAAAACTGAAGACTTGGCTTTGGGACCAGGCATTCGACTAGTGAATAGTGGCAGGTGGAAAGAAGACTTTGGAAACCCGCAACACTGAATTAATCCAGACTTGGATTTGGTTTCTAACTGGCATGTTCAATCAGGGGCGGCTCGTCCATTACGCGAAGTAAGCGGTCGCAGAACACTTTTTTTTGCCAGGGGCACAGAGGCGCCTCTGTAAATGCCCCTCGACTGCCACTTGAGGAGCGCCCCCTCAGCTCACAACAGCCCTAGCAGTCCGGGGGGAGCCTCGGCTTTCTTGCCTCGCTGCCGGGCAAACCTTTTCCTAAAGGGGCCAGGCCCTTGAGACTCTCCTAGCCCCTCACGTTCCTGCTCCACCCGGCTAACGGGTGCGCGAGCAGAGCCGGAGCTCAATTGTTCTCTGCGTTCGATCCCTTCTCCATAACCGGCTCCCTTTCCTGATCCCCAGTGCTCCACCTGTCTCCTCTCCTCTCCCCAATCCACGGGTGGGCCAAAGGGCGGAGCCGCCGCGCCTGGCCCGCTTCAGGTCCGGAGGCGTATCTGAAGACCCCGGCGTGTGCACCAAAAGTCGCCTCTTCTTCTTTCTCTTCAGCCATTGGGACCAAGAGAGAGAGAGAGAGAGAGAGACCCTCTGGCTGGAGGTATCTCCCACCTCCGCTCCCTCCTTTGTTTTTGCGCCTACCTTCAGGAAAGGTGGGCATCTCCACCTCTCTCTCTCTCTCTCTCTCTCTCTCTCTTGGTCCCAATGACTGAGGAGAAAGTCAGGAGAAGAGGTGACTTTTGGTGCACACACCGGGGTCTTCAGACATGCCTCTGGACCCAAAGCGGGCCTGGCAAGGGAGCAAGTGCGGCAAGTGTAGTTATTGGGATGTATAGTTCACCTACAATCAAAGAGTATCCTGAACTCCACCAGTGATGGAATTGAACCAAATATGGCACACAGAACTCCCATGACGAACAGAAAATATATATCAATGATTGGTTTGGGGGGGGGGGGCGCCAAAATACTGTTTGCTTACCGTTGAAAATTACCTAGGGCCGCCTCTGTGTTCAATCTATTGTTTTAATGAATTGCTTTAATGTTTTAATGTATTTGTTGATTGTTTATGATGGTGATAACATTGTACAGTGCTTGTTGTGAGGCCACCCTGAGTCCCCCCTCGGGGCTGAGAAGGGTGAGGTATAAATATCTATATAAATAAAAATGTAATGTTCATTTGTGGGATTAACAGAACTCAAAAACCACTGGATGAATTGACACCAAATTTGGACACAAGACACCTAACAATCCAATGTATGTCATTCACTAAAAAAAATGATTTTGTCACTTGGGAGTTGTAGTTGCTGGGATTTATAGTTCACCTACAATCAAAGAGCATTCTGAACCCCACCAACAATGGAATTGAACCAAACTTGGCACACAGTTCTCCCATGACCAACAGAAAATACTGGAAGGGTTTGGTGCGCAGTGTCCTTTGGTTTTGGAGTTGTAGTTCACCTCCATCCAGAGAGCACTGTGGACTCAAACAATGATGGATCTGGACCAAACGCTACACGAATACTCAATATGACCAGATGTGAACACTGGTGGAGTTTGGGGAAAATAGAATCTTGACATTTGGGAGTTGTAGTTGCTGGGATTAATAGTTCACCTACAATCAGAGAACATTCTGAACCCCACCAACGATAGAATTGGGCCAAATCTCCCACACAGAACCCCCATGTGGGCCACAGCAACGCGTGGCAGGGTATGGCTAGTATGAAATAAATAAATAAATTTCCAAAGTGCTATTTTTAGGGTATCTTCAGCACCTTGGATAGAATCATAGAATCATAGAGTTGGAAGAGACCTTGTGGGCCATCCAGTCCAACCACCTCCCAAGAAGCAGGAAAATCTCATTCAAAGCATTCCCAACAGATGGCTAACCAGTCTCTGTTTAAAAGCCTCCAAAGAAGGAGCCTCCACCACACTCCGGGGCAGAGAGTTCCACTGCTGAACAGCTCTCACAGTCAGGAAGTTCTCCCTAATGTTCAGATGGAATCTCCTTTCTTGTAGTTTGATAGCTCAGATGAAAACCCAGAGTAGGTTCACTATTCCATTTACAGTGGATCTATCCAACTTGCCAGCAATACTGATATCATTCACTTAGATGGAGTTAGTATAATATCAATAATAATTAATTCAGTTGTGATAACACTTTTATCCTGTGTTCAGAATAAATTCAATTATTTTTTCAATTTTTTTTAATATGGACAAATTATGGGCACCTGAGGCCAGTAGATTAGGGCAGGCTATGTCTTTCCTCTGTAGATGTATATTTTTCTCTCTAGAATCTTGTTTCTTAGAATTGCACATTAGGAATAAAACATGAGCGATCCTGACCATCAATTTATCCCTGAAATGTATAACAATCCATATTTAAATAATCCATGGCAACACTAGACTTTTAAAAGGTTTCACATATGCAAATAAATATGGCACTAATGGAAGAATGATTTGAAGTGTGGCTCTGAAAGGTAATTAATATCTGGAACTTTTGAAAAACTATCTACAGAAGCAGCGCTGTGTTAGTAAACATGACTGTCAAAAAATATTTCCTTTACATATTTCATTATGCCAACATTTGACTCCAATTTATTAAAAACGATAGATAATGCGCAGCGTACCACTATGAAGTGTGACCTCATTTTAATGAATAAAAAAATTCCAAAGATGGTTTGTAAGAATGAAAACCTTGGCACAGTTATAAAAAGGCAGGTATAAAGCAATACTCTAAATCTTTCTAATAAGATATAGCTTTGTCCCTATAACAGTGGCCAATTAATTTAATGGACCTGCTCAGGAAATCAAAGTTTGGTGAGAAATGAAGGACAGCTGTGATAAAAATCATTATTGATTGCGCAAACAGAACAACCAGCAGTGGTTTGTGCAGACAAATCTGACATATTCAAATCCACTTAAATAATTCATATCTAAGACCCATGGAAACACATGAATAATTCTGCTAAGTTTTTGCCCTCTCTGCTACAACCTCCCATTTTGACTATAGGCCTGGAACATAATTATGTCCTATTGAACCAAATTAATTAGAACTGGGTATCAAAATGCCACTTTTGATTGTGAGAACCTATCCATAATGCAGTTATGTAAATGTAATTAAAGCTAAAATTTAGAAAATCTGTTTACTCGAAAGAAGGCTGATTGATTTTGGCATCTGTGAGTTTTCTCAGGTTTTAAGTCTCGGGCATCTAATTGAGAAGGGTTTAAGTTTTGATTGTAGGCTTTTT